CATTTGTCGACATTTTGGCAAGAGCTCATCGTGAGCGTAGCAATTGGTACAGCCGTAGTGGGAGCACTTCTGGGAGGTTTTGTGAATCAACGATGTGGGCGGAAACCCATGCTGTTAGCTTGTGCGATGGTGCTGACGGTAGGAGCCGTGGTGGAGGCAATTGCTACATCGAGAAATGCTCTACTCATTGGTCGGCTCATTGTCGGTTTTGGAATAGGTAAGTAAGCAAAAAATTAGGCTTCTACGAAATATCCATAATATGTAAATCGCTGTGCAATATTTGCATGTTTATCGGGGAAAATCTCGGAATCAAAAGTTCTCACAAGCTCAAGAACAGTAGCAAGTACCTTAATTAAAGTTGAGGCTCCTTAGAGCACAGGCGTCTCAAGTTCACGTCTCGAGAGAAAGCAAACAATTTTTTCATGAATTAAAATTCATAAAAGCATCACGCGTCGTGTGACCCGGGGCTAGTTTCCAGAGGAACCGCTGAGAATTTGAACACGTTATAAGGAATAATATGGGGAACGAAATATGGTCGATTTACAACGGTAAATATCCGAAATGATAACATTTTGCACGTAAAATTAATAAATTCTTCTCACATCTTGTGTGTCCGTCGTGGTTTCCGGCGTTTTCTGTCGTTTTAAGCTTGCTTTGTCATCTCTGTTATTCCTGTTAGAAGACGAAGTAACAGTGATTGTAAAGCAAGCTTAGAACGGCAGAGAACGCCGGAAACCACAACGAACATACAAGGAGTGATTAATTTCTAATGATTTTACGCGTTCATATTTCGAAATATTTATCGATACCACAAGTGGAAGTTATAGATGTGTGTCACGTCCATTCTAGGGGTTGAAGGGTTATTCAGCCGAATATCCTATTTTGAAACTAGACCCTGTGAGCAGGGTAACTGGGATACCTGGATGGTATTGGATCCTTAGGATCAAGTGTAGTGATACCACGGGTATCGGACTAGTATACTGAAACAGTGAGCTCAAGTCTGGCCAAGGGCATACACCTATTTCAAAAAATGTTGTCATCAGGCGATAGGTGATAGGTCATTCCAAGACGGAAAGGAATCATGGGTATACAACTCAGTAAATAGTTCTTGCTGAGTGTTGTACATTTGTTTTTTTTTTTTAACTGGATAACAGTTTTTCTGTATTGTATTCTGTTACAAACAGAGAAAATATAATATGAACCTTCTCTAATCTTACTTTGAAAAGCTGTGATCTTATGATCTAAATCAAGTTGAACTGAGTTTCTATGGGTTTCCTTATTAGCTTGGACTTGTGATGTAATCTTATCTTTGTCTGCAGGATCCAGCGTTTTATACCATTCTGCTCTGCCAGACAAAAGTTTTTCTTTTTCTTCAGGATTCAATGACTTATACCATTCTTCTCTTTTTTTGTTTTTGTGCAGAATTGAGCAAGTTAAATAATTCTGCTCTCTTTTGTTTTTGTGCAGTATCCAGTGATTTATACGAAATTGCTCTGCTAGACAAAAGATTTTGTTTTTCTGCAGAACCAAGTGATTTATACCAATCTGTTGATTTGGACAAAAGCTTCTCTTTTTCTTCGGGATCCAGTGATTTATACCACTCAGCCCTGTGAGATAAAAGTTTTTCTTTTTCTGCAGGATCTAGTGACTTGTACCATATTGCTTTATCAGGTGAAACTCTTTTTTCCATGGCAGGTTCCATTTGTGCATAGCTTTCTTTTCTCCTTTTTGCATGTAGTTCTTTCTGACTATGAGACTTATGTTTTGCCATTACCTTCTGTCTTGCAGCATTTGACAAATCGGTTGAACAACGTGCAAATTTAATAAAATATTCTACATCTTTACTCTGGAATTGTTTTTTTTTTACAATATTCACTAATGACTGAATAAGAAAATCTATGTAATTCATTTTTTCAAATATATCAAATGTGCCATGGGGACTGAATCTTGTAATATAGTACTCAAGACTTTTTGCTTTTGTTTTCATATTATTGTGCTGAAAAATACAGCTGAAGCAATAATTTGAAATCCACATTAAAAACCCAGTATTATCCTAAGTATTATCTGTGATTAACTTCTGAAGCAATAATTTGCTACCAAGAGATGTACGGCATATTCCTTGTTTCTCCTAATTTAAGGCAATATTAATATCTGCAACATATATTTGAAGTGTCCTTAGGAAATTGTTGATAGTCAGTGGATGGTTATCACCATTGAGTTTTCCTTTGTAAAACTTTTTTGCATGGTCAGTGATTCTATCTAGAGTCTGTGAATTCCAATACCCACGGTAGTAGTGTTGTTCAATAGATTGCATAGAGTATATGCAGTTTGGTTTCAGCTCTAAGATTTTGCTTTTTTCAACAAATGTACGTTTTTCAACTAAGACACTGGTTTACTTGGCATACAAGGCATGCAAGGCATACATGGCTTTCAAGACATACAAGGCTTTCATGGCTTTCAAGCGTTCGCGACTCAATCCGTTCCAAAAATACCGCTCAGTAACATCTTTAAGCGAGGATTGGCCGCGAACAATACGACTTGTGTATGCGTCTGTAAGTATTTTGAGCGTTTGCACCATAAAGCTCCACTTAGCTTGTAGTGATATTCAGTGAGATAGATGACAGGACCTTATGTTTTTTTTTTCTTTAATTTTTTACAGGAGGGGTGTCTACTACCGTTCCAGTTTACATCGCTGAAATTGCGCCATGGAGTATCAGGGGTCGTTTAGTCTTCGTGTATTACCTATTTCTAACGGGAGCTGAATTTGTCGCTTCTGTTGTTGACGGTATATTAAGCCCTTACAAGAAGACGGGATGGAGGTAAAGAGATTTAGAAAAATTTCTTTTGTCTTTTATGTTAACTTAATGTGGCAGCAGAAGTGATCGGGACAAAGAGATTGGATTTTATCGAATACCATCAGTTATTAAAAATAAGTCTTCCTTCTAAGAAGAATTGACAACAGAGAGGAGAGAAAAGTAGATACAAGCGATTAGCCGCGGCGACACGATGTGAGAATAAAGGTAAAGATAGACCAGCACGAACTCCCCATGTGGCTTTCGTGGTCGTGTCGCATTACCGCCTTCAAATTATATTTTTTGCTCTCATAAGCATGTTTTCAAGAGATTTTCCTTTTTTTATAAAAGATAATCGGAGGTATTGTAAAATTTGTTTTCAGCAAGGGCTGGTTGTGTATCAGTGAAGGAAGGCGCTAGTCTCGTACTCAGACCTTTCACGCTCAAGCGTACATTTCAGTTAAAGCTGCACGGTAGGATCTGGTTACGAAATTGGGGAGGCACTGAGTGAACAAAGCTCCCTGTGACCAAAACATAACAAAATGACCTTGTCAAGACTTGGGTACCAGCATGTAGTCGATTCTTGTTTCGTAACTTGCCTGAGATGAACCCTGGCATTAATAGGGCTTGCGAGTCAGATTCAATGCTTCTAACAATCAAAAAGTAATCGTATTATTATGAGTTCACGATCACAAAACCCTGGCATAATACTCCCTAACCATCTTTAAGAAATGTCTTGTAAAATCCTACATCTCTTTGGTAGATTCATGTTTGGTTTAGCTGCACTTCCGTCAGTCATCATGTCCGTGGGTTGTCTGTGGCTTCCAGAAAGTCCCAGTTGGCTCGTCAGCCGGGGCGCCTGTGAACATGCAAGGGAAGTTCTTGTGAGAATTAGAGGAACGGCGAAAGTGGACGAGGAGCTACAAGCTATACAGACCGTTTGTAAGGAACAAGAATCTTATGATAAAAGTAAGTCTCCTAATTATTGGAGGGTTGGGTTATTGATTGACACTACACGAAGCGTAAAGATCCTTCGAGTGGTTCTGTTTGAGTTTGAACCCGATGTGATCCCAAGGCAATAATGAAGGGGATTCCGAGGGGGATCCAGGCGAGATCTCGGCACAATTGAGACGTGGCACGGGGAAGAATTCCGGCGTGATCCCTGGTGGTCCTGCATGGGATCCCACACTGTGCTCGAGTAGGTTCTGAGTATGTTCATGTAAAGTATTTTTGTTGTTGTTCTGTTGTCAATGCAATGCAAATCTAGCATTCCGTTTTCTCATTTTCTTCAGTGGAAAATACCGACCGCTGATCAAGTTTTGTTATAAAACCCGAACTTTTGGAGACCTTTCACAGTGAGTTATTTGGTGTTACAGAAACGTTTTCCGCAAAATAAAAGGTTGTCATTGTTGTTTTTAGGCAGATTTTATGAGATGTTGAACACTTCGAGTACAAGGAAGGCTCTTTTAGTTGGCTGTATGTTGGTATCAATGCAAGATCTGTCTGGGATTAATTTGATTCTGTAAGTGAAACCGTTTTATTAACTATGCAACTTGAAAGCCCAGAATATAGATCTCTAGGCGAGCCAAGCAGAGTGCGTGGCATAGCTTTGACTATAGGCTGATTGAAAGGGGCCTTAGTTGAGTTACCTTGTCAATCGTAAAGAAGGCATTGCATCAATTTTAAATGACAGGTTAGTAAGAAGAGATGTATTATCTCGTCAATAGTTTCTACACAGAAACTTTTCATCACAAGTTTTGATGTTTTTTTTAACCGTTGAAAAACCGTAAACTTTTGGCACTTTTGTGGGATCAGTGTGATCTTACTCTTTCCATTGCTGAGATCGATTTGGCGCCACAATCCTCCGTTATTTCTGGTCGTTCAACCCCGGCGGCGGGCGGGGCACTTTTTAGTGATAGGCGAATAGGGCTGTCCTATCACGACTGGATAGAACGATAGAACGGGTAAACTTTCAATTGAGTTATTTAAATGGAGTCGCACACTTTTCGAGATTTTGGGGTAAGGTAATTCTGGCAAGAAGGGATTTAAAAATGGGAAGACTTGCGGTTTTAAAGATGTAATGGTGTTTTGCTTTGATATTTAACAATCGGCTCGCATTATAGGATGATCTACTACTTTAGAAGGTAGAAGCATAAACAGAAAGGGACTAGGCTGAGATTGTGAAAATTGCATTTGCCCCAAAGTGACTAAGATGGGTTTTATGATCTGCTGAAGAGTAAATTATAGGGAGGAAGAAGTTCTTAAAGGCCAAAGGCACATACCCAGCAAAAATTGACCTATGTGCCCCCTACTCCCGGCCTTCACATCAATAATAAAATGAAGTGTTGATAAAAGTGTGTTTTTTGTTTCCAGATTCTACTGTGCAACTATTTTACAGATGTCAGGTGTACAGGGAGACCGACAGGCCCTCTGGCTTGCTGTGGTGATATATTTTGGTAATTTCACATTTCCCTTTGTTGGATTGTATCTGGTAGAGAAAGTAGGACGCCGAAAGCTACTATTAGGAAGTCTTGCGGGGGTCACTGTTTGCATGTTTCTCTGTGGTGGTGCATTTTACATGGCGAAGCAACACGATGCCGCGATAACCCTTAACGAGAGAGCGATTTCTAATATCAGCAACAATTGTCCTGCTACTGGATATTGCTTAGATTGCCTCGGAGTCCAAGAAAACTGTGGATTTTGTTATGCTAAAGACTCCTCCAATAATCCTTTATATGGTTCTTGTGTTCCAATTAATGTATCTTCTAACGACAACACGGCCGCTTTTGGTAGATGCAGTCGCAAGGATCATTCGGTAACATGGTCGTACCAAGCTTGTCCTTACAAGTATGCGTGGTTAGCAACTTTAGCTCTTGTATTATACATCGCCGCGTTCGGTCTGGGGATGGGGCCGCTGCCATGGACGATAAATTCTGAAATCTACCCCCTGTGGGCCCGTAGCTCGGGGCATGGGTTTTCTACAGCTGTAAAGTGGTCTACTAATTTAGTATTATCCATGACTTTCCTGTCTCTAACTGAGTGGATTACGAGTTTCGGGGCGTTTTGGCTGTATGGGGGAATTTCGCTTCTGGGTTGGCTGTTTTTCTTTGCTTATCTTCCTGAGACGAAAAATAAATCGCTAGAGGAATTGG